GTCTGTGAGAGCCAAAATTCTTACTGTTTGATAGATGTTCAAATACTTATTTACACAATAAAATGGAAATTAATTATTTAAAAAATCATACATTGTATTTTTCTGGATTTTTGTTTTAGATTCCATCACTCACAGTTGAAGAGAAAAATTACAGTCATCTACAAGCTTTGCAAGTGGGAAAACCTGAAATCAACAGTGTATCAAATACTTGTTCTCCACACTGTATAGACTGATACTTTGCCTTCAGCCTGTTGCTGATTTAAACTATTTTCAGCAGCAGGGAGTGGACTTCCTGGAAGCCACACGACCTGATAGTGCATTGCATTATGGGTAACAAATCCACATAGTGTGAGAACAATTACTGAATTGTACTTACCAATTTCTTAAACGTGGAGTGAATGGTCTGCTTTTCTCTCAAGTTCCCATTGTAAAAGGCAATCTCCTCACTAAAGCAAAAAAACTGGTCAGATTTTAGCCCTGCAGTTCATATGTGTCTACGTTTATGAGCTGAAAGGATGCTGCTTCTGTACCTGTTGGTGATAAGGCGAGAGTTGACATAACGATACTCTCCTTCGTAGCGCTGCTCAGACACAGTCATCTTGCCTATGGGCCTCCTGAGTCTGGTCAGAAACAGTCCTGAGATCAGCAGGTAGGACATCATGATGGCTGGACCCTGTTTAGAGGCAATGAAGCCGTTTGATAATTAACCTGTTGAATTTACAATATGTTCACAGAACTACAATTTAATGAAACAATTCTCCCCTGCAGGAATTTCAGTTAATGAAAGAGTTTTGTTAAGCAAAAAATGCAACATCAACAGAATTATTTTTCACCTAAATAACATCAGTAACATACATCCTTTTTAACCTCAAACCAACATTTAAATTGGAAACATGCCATTTTATTTAAATTTAGAAAGCTCTCATCTCATGCTGCGCTATTGATGGTTCCTCAGTCTGGAGTTTGACACAGCACCTTCAAATGTTATTTAAAATAATAAAAAATAAATCATATTCATCAATCTGTTCATTCACCATAAAAATCAATAGGCTCTGTCAAATTTATTAATTTCTGTTAAATACCAGAACTGAATTGGTGAAAGTATTTAAATAAAAACTACCTAAAACTGAGCTTCTGACCGGCAGTTTGGAAGATTTAACACAACAGTGATCATCACTGTGGAAATGTAACAACACAATTCAAAGCACACAGAATGAACCTGTCAAGGTTTTGAAGGTAACAAATTAATGGAAGAAACCATTCTTAACAACCTAACAGCTGGGATTATTTTTTAAACAGCACTGCCTTTGTCTGTGTTTGTAAGATAAAAGAGTCAGGAAGGTTTTTTGTAGAGACCTTAGCAACATAGTGCAAGAAGACAGTTCACCATGATGGAGAACGTGTGCAAGCTGCTGGAGTGTGAGGACGCTCCCTGTTGTTTAAGTAATTTTACATTTTTTATTTAATATCTAAACTAAAATAATTGACTTTTTTTGTTATGACACATAAAAATGGCACTGTGAGGAGGCCCAGAGGAAGACCCAGGACACGCTGGAGAGACTATAGCCCTATTCTGAAGGGATTAGTTTTACCTAGGGACCCCATGTAATAAATAAATTATCCCCCGATGTCTGTGTTTTATGTGGTGCATTCGCACGGGATAACCAGAACCTGAGATTTTCCTGAAATTTACAGACATTTCCTGAATGTGACATTGAAGCCAGTTAGTTGTTGTCTGTTGAACACGGCGTTGAACAGACGTTAAAAAACAAAAAACAAAACATAAACATCAAGTTCTCCACTTTTTCCACTCTCCTTTCCTCCTGCTTACAGCAGGCACTGTCATCTCCACGGCCGACAGACCCCCACCCCATCCCCACGCGCGGGTACGAGTGGTACGGCTAAAAATTATAGATTTTTGAGGCTCATTAGGTAAACGTCCAAAGGGGTTGACATGTGAACACCTTCACAGCTGGCGAGAGTGTGCGCACCAACTACCTAAAGCACGCGCCTGCTGCGCTACGGCCAGAGCTCAACATTCAACATCAGCCAGAAGGCTACAGACAGAAAAAAAAAATTCTTACCGTACAGTGAGCCACCATTTGCATCTGATTTTGCTCCCACTCTTCAGACTTTTTTTTTTTAATTTTTAAATTTTATTTTTTATTTTTCTAATGGCGCACGTAACGTAACGGGTTTTCCCGGCCCGGGACCGAAAAGGTTTTCAGTGCACTCCAATCCAGCCTCCGTTCTTCACCAACAGTAAATAAAAATGCACCAAGAAAACCAAAACTGCCTAATTACATATGGGATTCAGTCCATTCCTGTCCAAATCACAGAGATGCCTATTCACATTGGACTAGTATTATCACAGGACCTCGGAGTTCAGCGAATTATGGTAGGTAATTTGCGGGGGGATTTTTATTTACAAATTACTGACATGGCCGATTCTCACGGGATTAACAACACAGACAATCTCTGTAATTATTACAAATAGCATGGGGTCCCCAGGTAAAACTAATCCTGTCAGAATAGGGTTTATGTCTCTCAGCTGGCCTGGGAATGAAAGGGGATTCCCCTGGATGAGCTGGCCCAAGTGGCTGGAGAGAGGGAAGTCTGGGTCTCTCTGCTTAGGCTGCTGCCCCCGCAACCGGACCCCGGATAAGCAGAAGAAAACAGACGGACGGCACATAAAAATAATTGAAGGAAAACTATGCCATAAAAAATGTTGTGGAGTGGTTTTCTAAGCTGCAATACTTGTCAATAATGCTATGAAAAACCCGGGAGTTTTGTAAAATTATGTCAGAAAATACCAAAACAGTAAATATTCATCATTTTTGTTTACACCTAAAATTGGCAATTAATTACGATCATTTACAGAAATTCTCCAGTTAGTTTTGGAATATTTAGGCACAGTTCATTTGCGTACGATCAATTTTCTCCCCCAAAATGACAACTACTGTCATGCTTTTTGTTATTATGTCTGATTCCATTGTTCTCCCTTTGACTCTGTTTACATCAGGGGATTATTAAGTGTATGATATATGTAAGAAATTAAAAGTTGAATTAAAAAAAACTTGTTGGGGTTTAAATAAACTTGAGTTAGTATAAAGAGTAGTTTCCAGTGATTTTAGGAAACATTTAAAAGTATTCCACTTACCTGAGCACCAATGGCACTTGTCAGCTTGAAGATGTACAGACCGATATCCAACAGAGGCTGGAGGACAGACACAACAATGACTTRTTTCAGGATTCTGAGGTAAAACATATGATAGGCAGCAGACAATATGCGTTCCTTCAACATGTTACTTTTATTATAAAGATTTTTTTATCACTCTTAACATAAATGCTCTTCTATTTGCCCATCCTGTGAGCCTGCAGACTGTACAATCAGTGTTACACACAAAACTGCATTCATTTACACAAGTTCTTCACAGTATAAAGTAATAATCGTACCTTGCTGAGGTTGGAGTACAGATCCACCACACTGTTGCAGAACTTCTCCACATCCTGTGTCAGTAACTGGTCTGCATTAGCTATCCGGTTGTCCAGGTTTCCCATTTTGTAATAAGTGTAACCTCTGCAGAGACAGAGTGAAGACTCAAGAAACCAAGAGAGTTTTTCCCATCATCCTTTACCCAAAACCACAGCAGGTTATTCTCTTACAGTTAATGGAAAAACTATTCAAGAAAATAAAAAAGTCAGGCTTTTGTTCATGAACTGACAAACAAATGAGGGGAAGAAAATGCTATTACACTTTGATTGTTGTTTGTCTTCTTTTTCTTTAAGAAAATAACCAATATCAATTCTGCAGAATTTCTAATACATGTGTAAGCAATAACAGGACCTCATGAATTGCATATGGCTCTTTTCTTTTCTTTTTTAGCCACATTTTTGTACCTTAAAAGCATTTTAAGGTATGAAAAATACTCCCTTTTTTACTTGATACCTTGAAACTCATTAGCGTTTTGGCTAGTTTAAGCAAAATGTAAACAATAAGCAGCGATGTTCATGATCACTTACAAAAATAACTGGGTCTTTAAGTGACAACAAATTATGAACTCAAAGTTATGGATTCAAATTAAAAATGAATAAACAGCATTAAGTGGAGTTGAACTTACTGAAGGTACTGGTCATACAGTTTCTTTGTGAGCCGCTCACGAAACCTCAGCTTTAACTCGTTTAGGCCCAACTTTAGAAAGTTGTTCACCAAAGCAATCTGAAATGAAACAGTCAAACACAGTTTACACTTTTTAACATAAGGAAACTTCCATTTTGCTCCATTGCTTACTTCTGTTTTTAGCCAAAAACAAAACATTATTTAGCTAGCATATGTTAGCTTCGATATTTTTAATGCGTTAAAAAATTCACAATTTTTTCATCTGCAAATAAAACTAATTACATTTTTGATATTCTACACCTTGTTCAAATTATGTACAAATCGTTTTTGTTCCAACATGGACCCCTGGTGCACTCCATAAGAAATGTCCAAACATTGTGATTATTCACCCATTTCCATAATTTGTTGCCTGTTATTTAAGCAGCTCTTCATCCACTGCAGAACAAGTCTTCTAATACCACTCTGATGTATTAAATGCAAGCAATTCAAAACAAACTTCCACAAGTAACAAAAGAAAATATCATAAGAAACACTTACAACTGGCATGAATTTGACAAAGCTGAATAAGAAGATCTTGAAATCTTTTGTTGAACGTCCGATGATTGCACTGTAAATCAAAACAAACACAAAGATGAACAAACACTGACAAAAGAGGGATCTTAGGACAAGAACGGCAATCTTTGAGTTTGCCATGTCTTGGATGATGGAGAATCTACATCAAAACATGATACCAACATTAGAGATGGATCGTATCGATGCTAATGTGATGGGATTAATATTTGTGTTTGTTTCAACCTTTAGTACATCGTTACTCATCCTAAAATAAAACTCTGTGCCAGTGGAGCCATCAAACAGCAAGACCAAATATAAACACTGGACCAGTCACGTCAGATAAAAAATCATTGGGATTTTTATTGCACAAGAACTTAATGCTGCGTTCACACCGAAAGCGATTTCAGCTTCAAAATCGTAGCCAACGCTGAAGTTTGAAGCTTGTGCACTTTGAGGTCAGACGCAGGACAGCTCTTGAAGCGCTCGTACGGCAAGAGCCCCGCCCCCCCCCTCCTCTGTCGGGCTCTGTGTATTGTCAGACGAGGAAGTGGCTTTGCTTTATTTACAGAGAGCAAGAGCATGTCACGTTCATCAGATAATTAATTCATAATTAATTCACCAGATAATTCAGAGACATTCTGAGTTTCATCACCCAGGAGCTGCAGGAGAGGCTCACAGCTCGCTTTCAGGACTATTTTTGTCCCGAGTCCAGTCTGATGAGCCGCTGCCACGCATTGGTGAGGATATCTCTGTCAGGACACCGACTGCAGGCACTGGATTTCAGCTAAAGAGCTCCTCTCCATCTGTTTCAGTTTAGTGGACATCATTCAGTAAACTGTCCCGGCGGGAAATATGTCACTACGTCACACAGTGGAGTCTCTCTGATTGGTTGATGCTGCGAGTCGAGCTGCAAAAGTTCAGATTTTCTAACTTCAGCGATTTGCGCATCAAACACGTCGAATGTTCAGATCGTTCAAATAGTTCAAATCGCGCTGCTCTAATCGCGCTTGAGGCGCCGCAGAACTTCCCGACGCTGCTTGAAGCGCGTCCACCATAGACTTTGCATGTAAACCTGATGCTCCTGACGCTGAAATCACGTTTGGTGTGAACGCACCATTAGAATCAATCCACACGTGGTAACATGYAGCATCTATATTTATATCTGTAAACACAGCGTGCTGCATGAGACGTCACATTTTCTTCTGCACATGTGGGTCAACTCAGAAATGTCCAGGTTGTCCTTACAACTGTTTTCAGGCAGCTGAAAGCGCTTACTCTGTGTGTGTGTGTGTGTGTGTGTGTGTGTGTGTGTGCGCGCGTGTGTGTGTGTGTCGTGAGTGCAAAGAATGACGTCAAATACACAGTTCTCGGGCCATGAAGTGTAAATAAAACCATTTTAAACTCTGACCTTTCAATCATGGTGCCATTCTGGATCATCCATACATCACAGTAGGTCCTGGCCACTAACATGGCGGCGATAAGAACCAGATAGGCAGTCTGTCACAAAGACACAACTACAGTTAAACACGTGAGGACACTGCAGATTATGAAAACTTTATCATTCTGACCTTAAGTCCACTCAGATCAGCTCATATGATAAGTCTCATTTCACTGTGACCTTTGCTTACGAAGCTAATGTTTCTGTGTCAAAGGTCTCTTAATATGTAGGATGTAATAAATTCAGTTGTTTCCAAACTCCCAAAACTTTGCTGTCAAAGAAACTATCTTTTATATACCACATGTCAAACAAAATGTCTAAATATTTCTTTATTATCACTGTAATCAAAGCATTCAAAGGGTTTAAAGGACTTCCAACAAGATCTAAATCATGAGATTTTTGATGACATTCTTTACAATCAAACATATCTGTGCACACACTGGGTTATTATTTTATAGAGAACTGCTACTTGCACCTGACCTTAAACAGAACAAAAGCTGATTGGATCAAAAGGGACCATTTGGGGTTGAAGTAACCAAATTTAATTTAGCCAACATCTTAGCTGAGAGTCAAATCTGCTGCTTCTCATTCAACAAGTGCATCAGATGAGCTTTAACTTATTATTAAGACGATTCATTTAGAAATGTGTCAAACTATAATGTTCCTCAGTTTATCATTACAAATAAGACAAAATAAATATATATATTTAAGATTAAATAATAATAATTAATGATTACACAATAACAAAATTATAACGACACCTCAACAATACAAAGACACTGCCTGACTAAAGATTACCTTACCTCCATGCAAAAAACTCGTGGCACCATGATCCGCAGAATCCGAAGGATTCGGAGGAAGAAAACCTTATCCACTGCTGCCTTGTCTTTTTTTCCATCTTTCTACAGGAGACCAAAGGGAACACATTCAATTGCAGCTAATTATTGTTGCCAGTCACATTTTAAAGGAACTTGAAACAAAGTTAACTTACTTCTGTGTTCAGCACAAGCTGAGAAGCTCCTTTTGTACTGCGAAGAAAAACTAAGTCAAACTAATTTGCTTAAAACAAAGATCTGCTTTCACATCAAAACTGAACAACAAACCACGTAAGCAGAGTTGGCTTAGCTGCAACGCTTTCTAATCTACCATTCAGAGGAATTCTGCACATATTTTCGTTTGTAAATTTGGCAAAAATAAAAACGTAACTATCAATTTCAGAAAAGAGTATCAATGTTCAAAGTATCAGTTCTTTGATATACTTTTTACTATACATGAATTAATACATAATGAGCTGACTGTCTTGATTAGAGGAGCTGTTGTCTGATGTGTAACCTCTGATAGGGCCTTCAGTCTTAATCACAGTGGTGTAATGTTGTTGGACTTTCTGGCTAGGAATTTGTTTCCCATGAAAAGCAATTACAGTGTGGTCCATAAATATACCTGGAACAATAAAAGTAGCTAATTTACATTTAATTTTTTTTATTATATCTTTCAGGGAGGATAGGAGAACACTTTGTTCTACCCATTCCTTTTCAAATATGTTAATTTTGTTTTCACTTCTTATCATTTTTTGTTTTGTATACATGTTTGAAATAAACTAAACTAAATGAAACTAAATTAAACTAAAAAACTAAAACTAACATGCATCTCAGAAGACCCAGAGATATTTCTGTGTTAAAAGGACCAACAGATCTTAGAGGACTTGGACTTTGGAACATTGTATCGTTTGCCAACAAYTCCAGATCTCATTTATAATGGGAGCTTTCACACAACTTAAAAAGAGACATACGACAAATCCTTCTTTTTCACATTTAAGTTATTCAGATGGGGTCTATATAAAGTGGAACTGTAATGCTTTGGTATGACCTGGAGAGACTAAATTCAACTTTTCTGCACTTCTACAGACTTCAGGTTCACAACAAAATACATTTAATGACTAAAAAAAGTGGGTTTCGCATGATACTAAAGTTTTTCAAATCTTTAAAACAAACATGGAAAAAAGCACCTTTTGTCAAACTTCTCATCTGTTACCCCATTATCATCATCTTTGTGTCTCCACAAGACTTTCGTCTGTCACACTTCACTAAATTAGATTTGAAAGTGTTTGTCCTTAGCTTTCTTTTCTAGTTAATGTTTTCTCAGACGCCTTCACCTTTTAACTCGACCTTTCACCTCCTCTTATTTTTATAAGTAATTCTTGAAGAGGAAATTTGATTTCAAAAWGAATTTTTATGTGTGATTCAGAATACTGTGTTTTCCTGTTCRTTATGTTCTGTGTCCTAACATTAAMAAATAAATAAATTATATCCATTTGACGTATTTACTCTTTGATTTTTAACACTTTGCCATGTCTTCCTGACTCTACTTTTTCATTAATCCTTTCTATGTTGGTATTGTGTGTTTCTCTACTTTATAAAAAAACACATTCAATTCAATTCAAAAACATGTAGCGGCTGCTTGTGAGTCAGATCTGAGAGTTTGATTCACAATCTGTTGAAGTCAGTGTGGGTCAGACTTTAGACGGGTTGAAAGAAAACAATTTTAAATGCAAAAATCTCAAAGAAAGTGACACCTGTGTAAATTTATAGATGAGAAACACATTGTAAAGCACTTTGTATAACCACGTTAGGTTACAAAAATGCTAAGCAAGCATATAAACAAGTTTAAAAATCTGCACAATTTATACATCATAAATGTACTACTGTCATACACAGAAAATAAAATGAAGAAAATAGGAACCRTGTATTTCAGATTATAAAGTAAACTGTTATCTGTTGCATTTCCAAAAATAAAGGTTGAAATATATTTTAAAGAAACCTTTACCTGGTATCCAACAGAATTTTGGATTTTTTTTTTCTTGTCTAACAAACACTAAAGTAGCAGATCAGATCAGATCAGATAGGTATTTTACCGTCACCTTTTATAAGACAAATAATTTGACATACACGTTCAAAATGACCGCAGGAACCTTTTGCAGGTTTTTTGAACAGGCATTTCCGCAGCTACTTATACTGAAAACACCCTTTGGAACAGGTGTTGTACAAAATTCTGTTCCCCTGTGAAAATCTGTTCCCCCTGTGTTGGGAGCGCCTCCCTCCGGCGGGCTCCGTAGATTGGTCTGACGTCATGTCGATTAACCAGTAGGGGGAACAGATTTTCACAGGGGAACCGAATTTCGCACATCACCTGCCACCAAAACTCAAAGGCAGGTGCAATACACAGTGTAGTGCGTTTCGTTTAAAATACGTTTAACTTGATTGCTTTAGCAAAACACAAACAAACGAAACATTTTAAAGTACTGCTAGACTCACTGAAAGTATTTGATCTGATGAAACTATTAAGTTCAGTTTGAGTGAGAACAACTAAAATTAATCCAGGTGGTGTTTTGTTGGGGTGTCAGGATACTTTACTGACACTATTGATACAGAACATTGCTTTAAACTGCTCCGTGAATAAAGAGCCAAGACCCTTGCTGGAAAACCGGATTGAATTCCTGAATGTCAGTCAGTGACAGCACCGTCTTACTCCACACTTCTCCAGAGAAGAACCGAGTACCGCTCACTCACCTGTTCTGTTTGGACCTCCGGTTTCTGCGCTTCAACAGGTAAACGGCCAACAACACTCCGCCAGCCAAGCAGGAGTTTTTGGCCGTCATATGTTTACTCAAACCGGCCATGTTTCTGCCTCAACAACCGCTTTGCTGTGTTTCAGCTGAGCTGGTTGTTGAAAGTCATTTCCTGGTGTGAACTGCGCATGCTCAGAATACACGTCGCGCAGACGCAGTCARAACATGGCTGCAGCCTTATCAATGGTGAATCTCTAAAAACAAATCTGCTCAACGTCTCAATACTTTGATTAACTACTTTGGTTTGGTTTAAACCTCTTTTATTTTTCGTTTGTATTACTTATAACTCAACCTGTAATACCTGATATCTGTGAGATAAGTGATGTTTTTGCCATGTTTTGTTTGTAAATAATTTCAATTAAAAAACCCTACTGAGAGGAGAAATATACAGAGCCGAACGAGACGACTGTAAATGAGAGCTGCTGCTTTGTCAGACAAATTTATTTTAATTTAGAAGCCTTATCAACACAGACTGGCTTCATTCCTCCACTGCCGTATGCTAAACTAACTAGCAGACACTGTGCAGAACATCGACGTCATTCAAAGCTCCGCCTTCTGTTTGCTGATTGGCCCAGGTAAAATAAACTACAAGCAGACACTGCGCAGAAAATTTATGTTCTGGTCTCTGATTGGCCCAGGTAAAAAAATAATTGAAATAAAGAACAAACAAACAAAGCATGGCAAAAACATCACATTAAGTTATCAGGTATTACAGGTTGAGTTATAAGTAATACAAAACACAATATTAAATATAAGAGGGAAAAAAGGGAAAAAATAACTAAAATGAATGAATAAATTGAAAAAAAAAATAGGTTTAAACCAAACCAAAGTTGTTAATCAAAGTATTAAGACTGAGCARATTTGTTTTTAATTAGACTAAGAGATTCACCAAATGTTTTAAGGTGACTTTTCCAATAATCTATATTTGGCTTAGCTTTAAAGAATCTACATTTATGAATGAAAAATTTTCCTAACATTGGCCCAGGTAAAATAAACTACAAGGAGACCTGCGCAGAAAATTGGCGTCTGTTCTCTGATTGGCCCGGCTAAAAATCTTCCAGTGAAATCCATCTCAATGGGGGCAGTCCCAGATGGAGGTGTGAAGGGAAACTAGCGGAGCGGAGCTGTGTAAGAAGGCAAGGGCCAGGCTATATCAATATAAATAAAACTGAGTAACAACCACGTGTTTTGGGAACTATAGAATTCTACAAAATTAAAATGAACACAAATTAGGAGAGCAAGTGGTTGTCTGTTGACATATTCTTACAAAAGTTGGGCTTTTACAGATTTGCATTAATCTCTTTAAAAGAATTGTTGAAAAAGACTTTAAAAACATTGGCCTAGCTTTAAAAAAAACACTCCAACATTTGTACCATTATCTTCATCTTTTGGTTACATTTTTGGTAGTTTCTTGTGTTTATTTTAAAGTTTATTCTCTTTTTTAGTTATATGATGTATTTTCTGTATTTTGGGCTTCTTGTATTTAGCTTTGTTTTATTTCATTTAGACAGCCTGTGTATTTTCACTCTCCGCTATTTCTCGAACTCTAAGTTCTAATTCCTGCCCCGCCCGCTCTCACCTGTCCCTCTTGTCCTCAAGTGTTAGTTTCCACAACTTTTAACATCCCTTACCCATACAGTCCATCTGTTTTCATTTCTCCCTCAGTTGAGCAAGACTCATTTTCACATGAAGTCCAGATATATACAGCAGGTAAAATAAGTATTGAACAYRTCACCATTTTTCCCAGTAAATATATTACTAGAGGTGCTAATAACATGAAATTTTCACCAGATGTCGGTAACAACCCAAGTGATCCATACATACAAAGAAATCAAAACATAAATGTCCAGAAATGAAGTTATTTGTAATAATGTGGAATGGCACAGGGAAAAAGTATTGAACACATGAAGAAATTTATCTAATTAATACTTTGTACAAAAGCT